CAGAATAGAGTGAAAAAGAGAGAAGAGAGGAAGGTGCAGCCGGCCAACCCTGACAGTACCCACTGTATGTATAAAAGGATTACAGAACACAACCCAAGGCTCCCTCCTTCAGACAAGCTGCTGGAGAAGAGAGCAGGCAAAAAGCACCCAGAAACACAGAGCCTAATACATTTATCAGTTCTGGGCTAACCCCTTACACAGACAGCTGTAAAAACATCGGGAGCTGGAGACAGTCCGACGTCTCCTTCTCTTATCTAGAGCTCTGCATGCTTGGAGCACATGGACATAACAAAATGAAGAATTCCATGTGTGTGTGTGTATGTTGTATGTGTGATGTGTAACTAAAACATCCATTCAGACATAATTCTTACACAAGATTAATACAAGAAAACAACTGGTGTCAAGGTACACTTTTTAGAATCAACATTATCTTCTAACCTTGAAGCACAGCACACTAGAGCAGACTTTGAATCTTACTAAACTGCATTAATAACACACATTAAAGTCTAACACATTAAAGTCTAATAATTATCTGACTGATTTATTAATTTCTAACAGGGAACATTTTGATAGTTAATTCTCAACCGCACAGAAGAGGGCATTAATGCAACAAACTTTGGATGCCAGTGTACCAAAAACCTAAGGAAGAAGAGTAAGCAAAAGAAGCTCCTCAAACTTTAAGAAAAAAATAACTATTTATGGAAGAGTGGCTGAAGAAGGGGATTTGGTCTTTTGCTCATCTAATGGATGGTAGAGGCAATTTACTGACCTATTCTGAAGTATCTATGAAATTTAACTTGTCTTCATCAAGGAATACATATGAGAGGATTATTCACGCTGTTCCCTTCCAGCTTAAACAGATGGGGTCACAGGATATTCTGTACTCTTCTGTCAATCAGGAACTATGTCCTTTAAAGATCAGCAACATAAATGTGATTGATGAGCAATGTTCTAACTCCTTTATCAGAGCTCAGCTTCTTAATATATGTTATCCTTCACCTGCAAAAAGAAATTATGTATTTGATGGTCTTTCAGGCCATATGGTTTGTGAAATAAGAAAGAGATACATCTCATTCCCCATAATTCCTAAAGCCAAAGAGTTGCATTTCAAGATGCTGATTGAATTCTACCCCTCTAAAGAATTCTTACAATTGAAATTTAATATGGATGAGAACTGTTGTACTTTTTGCAACTCTGAGACAGAGACCACAGATCAGTTGCTTTTCTGTTGTAATCGTACATCTAACTTTTGGACATGTTTAAATGACTGGCTCAGGTCCAGAATTGATTTCTTAGCACCCTTCACTTTAGAAAGCATCAAAATTGGTATATTTCTGAAAGAAAAAGATGTGGAATTCTAGGTGAATAACTTAATCATTTTGGCAAAATATTATATTCATAAATGTAAATGGAGTAAAAGGCAACCTTGTTTAGATGTGTTTAGGCATTTAAAAAATCCCTAGGCTACATAAGTGTTAAAGGAGCCCGAGGTCTTTTGTCTGCAATTGGACGATTTGATTTATTATAAGCCCCTGGTTATATGTTTTAATTAATTAATTAATTTTATTTTATTATTATTTTTTGTTCCCTCTCTCTCTCTCTCTCTCTCTCTCTCTCTCTCTCTCTT